TATATTATATTATATTACATTATATTACATTATATTACATTATATTATATTACATTATATTATATTATATTATATTATATTATATTATATTACATTACATTATATTATATTACATTATATTATATTACATTATATTATATTATATTACATTATATTATATTATATTACATTATATTATATTACATTATATTATATTATATTATATTATATTATATTATATTATATTATATTATATTACATTATATTATATTCTATTATATAATATTTATTATAGAAGCTGAAAAAGAACTGAAAACCACTAAAAACCAAGGGGGGGGAAGGTTTTTCCCCGGTCACTTTGGGACTCGGTGTCCCCCAGGCTGGAACCAAACTCTGCTCCAGTCCCTGAACCCGCCTGGGCTGCCAAGGCCGGTTCCCGTGGGTCAATCTTTAACTTCTGCTCCTGGGAAATGAGTAACTGAGGAATGAGGAGCTCTGTTCCTGGCGGGAGCCCTTCCACAGATTTGACAAGGTATTGAACCAGGCCAAGGGCCGGGTCCTGCCCTTTGGCCACAACAACCCCCGGCAGCTCCAGGCTGGGCCAGAGGGGCTGGAGAGCAGCCAGGCAGGAAGGGAGCTGGGAGTGGGGATGGCCAGGGAGCTGAACAGGAGCCCGAGTGTGCCCAGGGGGACAAGAGGGCCAATGGATCCTGGCCTGGCTCAGGAACAGGGTGGCCAACAGGGCCAGGGAAGGGATTCTGCCCCTGGACTCAGCGCTGGGGAGGCCACCCCTGGAGTGCTGTGTCCAGTTCTGGGCCCTCAGCTCAGGAAGGACATGGAGGGGCTGGAGCAGGGCCAGGGAAGAGCAACAAGGCTGGGGAAGGGACTGGAGCACAAGTGCTGTGAGGAGAGGCTGAGGGAGCTGGGGGGGCTCAGCCTGGAGAAGAGGAGGCTCAGGGGAGACCTCCTCACTCTCTGCAACTCCCTGACAGGAGGGGGGAGCCAGGGGGGGTTGGTCTCTTTTCCCAGGCAACCATCAGCAAGACAAGAGGGCTGGGTCTGCAGCTGTGCCAGGGCAGGGTTAGGTTGGACATTAGGAAGAATTTCTTTGCAGAGAGGGTGCTCAGCCATTGGAATGGGCTGCCCAGGGAAGGGGGGGATTCTCCATCCCTGGAGGTTTTTAAGCTGAGGCTGGATGTGGCATCAGTGCCATGGGCTGGGAACCACGGTGGGGTTGGATCAAGGGTTGGACCGGATGATCTCAGAGGTCCCTTCCAACCCAGTCGATTCTATTTTCCCACTTTTGCTGGGCTAAGCGGGACCTCTTGGCACGGCCCCCTTTTGGCTCCTGTGTCCTTGTCTCCCGCTCTGCTCCGGGGGCTGTTTTGCTCGGGATAACCATCGTTTTTTGGGCTGGGACACTCCATCCCAAGGTTCAAGCCGTGTCCCTCGGGATGGAAAGAACGGGGCCGTTCATTACCAGGCGCTCCGAGATAATTTATTCATGGCCTTAATCACCCCCGATGAACCGGCCACTCCTGCCCCCAGGAGCTTTTCCAGGGAGTTATTTTTAGGTCTCTCGGTGTTCTTGGTGGGATGGGGAAGGACACGGGGCCGGAGGTTCAGGGGTGGAACCGGCTGAATTCATCCAGATCCAAAGGCAGAAATTCTCCGGAGTCAGGGCAGGGACAAGGTGCTTCCCAAGGGTATTTATGGTTGGACTCGATGATCTCAGAGGCTTTTTCCAACCTCAGTGGCTCTGTGATTCTCTTCATCCCATCCCTGGAAGTGTCCAAGGCCAGGGTGGAGCTACCTGGGATGGTGGCACTGGATGAACTTTAATGTCCCTTCCAACCCAAACCATCCTGGGATTCTTTGATTCCATAAGGATGCGCTTTTTCCTGAAGAAATCAATGATCCCACCCCCTCTCTTCTTTCCCACGTGTTGTCACTCCCGTGTCTTGTACCTTCCCAAATCCATGGAATGTGGGTGGTGACACGGATGGAGTGAGTTGGTTGGTTCTCAGCCACTGTGTTGTCATCCCACTGCACAGGGAGCAGGGAGAGGATCCCTTCTTTTGGCAGCAGGATGGACTTCCAATTTTTATCAGTCTGGGAATGATGGAAAGGAATGATTTGTGCTTACAAAAATAGAGGGAGGCCAAAAGCCAGGGCCGAAGGGGAAGAGCCCTGCAAGTCCTCTGGAAAACTGGAGGGTTTCCAGCCTTTCCCACTCTGTGAGGCTGGAATTCTCTGAGGCTGTGAGTCGGTGATTCTGGGATTCCGTGAGACTGGAATTCTGTGAGGCTGTAACTCTGGAATTCTATGATTCTGGGAGTCTGGAGTTCTGGAATTCTAGGATTCTTTGAGTCTGGAATTCTGTGAGTCTGAGATTCTGTGAGTCTGTGAGTCTGGAATTGTATGGTTCTATGAGTCTGGAATTCTGTGATTGTGGAATTCTGTGGTTCTGTGAGTCTGTGATTCTGTGAGTCTGTGATTCTGTGAGTCTGGAAATCTGGAATTCTGGGATTCTGTGAGTCTGGAATTCTGTGAGTCTGGAGTTCTGGAATTCTAGGATTCTTTGAGTCTTGAATTCTGTGAGTCTGAGATTCTGTGATTCTGGGAGTCTGTGAGTCTGGAATTCTATGGTTCTATGAGTCTGGAATTCTGTGATTATGGAATTCTGTGGTTCTGTGAGTGTGATTCTGTGAGTCTGGAATTCTGTGAGTCTGGAATTCTGGAATTTTATGATTCTGTGAGTCTGGAATTCTGTGAGTCTGAGATTCTGTGATTCTGGAATTCTGTGAGTCTGGAATTCTGTAAGTCTGTAATTCTGCAATTCTGGGATTCTGTGAGTCTGGAGTTCCGAGATTCTGAGAGTCTGAGATTCTGAAATTCTGTGAATCTGGAATTCTACGATTCAGTGAGTCTGGAAGTCTGTGATTCTGGGATTCTATGAGTCTGGAATTCTGTGAGCCTGGAATTCTGGAATTCTATGATTCTGTGAGTCCGGAATTCTGCAACAGGCTCAGGGTGGAGGGACTCCCCAGGAAAAACAGGAAGAAAATCTGTGGGATTTCAGCTGTGGAACTGAATGGCAGAATGTTATGGAAAACAACCTTGGAAATGGGATTAGAAAGGGATTAAAGAAAATCCTGGGTCATAAAAGCAGTGGGTTAGACACTCCTGACCTTCCTAAACTAGTGGGACACAGCCATGGGAAATGCAGTTCTAGCCTTGTCCTGTTTGTTCTTCGCTTCCCTCACTTCCCACTGTCAGAAATGATCCCAAAAGTCTCTTGTCTTGACTTGATTTTCCTAATTTCCGTTTGCAGCCTGGTAACAAACAACTGAATGGAGGAACAAACGTGTCTTGCCTGGTGATAGACACAAAGTTTGGCACTGGAACTTCAAAACACGGGATTTCAGTCGATAGGATCCCTTTGCAGCCACACTGAGGCTCCAGGGAGACCTTGGAGTCACTTCCAGGGTCTAAAGGGGCTCCAGGAGAGCTGGAGAGGGACTGGGGACAAGGCATGGAGGGACAGGACACAGGGAATGGCTTCAAGCTGAAAGAGGATGAATTTAGGTGGGATATTGGGAAGGAATTCCTGGCTGGGAGGGTGGGGAGGGACTGGAATAGATTTCTCAGAGAAGCTGTGGCTGCCTCTGGATCCCTGGAAGTGTCCAAGGCCATGCTGGAGCAACCTGGGCCAGTGGAAGGTGTCCCTGCCCATGCAGGGGGTGGAATGGGATGATCTCTAAAGTCCTTCCATCCCAACTCATTCTGGGATTTAAAGGTAAAGACCCTCAGGATCCCACCCGCAGGAATCTGTTTATCCGACTGGTTCTTAGGTCGTGTTGTCCCAAAGAGTGAAGCTGGAGATGGAATGTTCTCCAAATACCCCAAACTTCACTTCAGCACCTCCTGTGCCTTGTTCCAGTTTTCCCCAGACCCGACTCCCAAAGCCTTCCAGCTGCTCCAAGCTGGAATGGGATCTCGGAGGGGGGAAGACAAAACAAGGGCCGTGGTTTGGACACCCAACCCCTGGGACACCAAGGACGAAGAAGCTCAGCTGGCTCTGCTGGTGAACTTATCACCAACTTGCCCCTGTGGCACCCAAATTAAAGTGCCAGGGAGCAAAAATGTGGGAAATATGGAAACGGGGCACGTCTGTGTCACCAAAAATCAAATGTGGCTCCTGCGTGTCATCAAAAACATGTCCAGTCATGTCTGGGGGATTGCTTGTTGTCTGCTGACCCCACACCCTTGGCTTGTCCCAAAAGGGTTTCTGTGCCCAAAGGTGTCCAGAAAGGGTCCCCAATCTCCCAGAAACCCTGGTTTGGAGAAAAAGAAGCCTGGATTCTTCTTGATTTCCACGAGACCTTGTTTCAAAGACTTCATCAGCACCTACTTAAGAACAGTGACTTAATCCTTCTGTGTTTCAAGTCCTCCTCTGAGGACTGAGGGTGATGCAACACTTTATATCCAGGGATTCATCCCAAATTGTGTTTCCAAGCCCATTTCCCGCAGCACCTGACTCAGCAAAGCCATTGGATAAGGATGGGAAGCAACCAGCTCCTTGCATTTAAAAGTGACAAATAATTCCTTGTTTTCCTTTCCCTTCCGAGAGCTTTTGTTTCAATTCAGGATAATTGAGCAAAGTGACTTAAAAGAAACACCAGATGTTGCACTGAGAGTCCCCCAGACATTTCAACCCAATAATGCCAGAGCTGGATCCATCATTAGTTATCCCTTGATTAATCCAAACCCCATCAAAGCCTGTTCAAAGCCTCCCAGTGGCTTCCAGGGGGTTTGAAACCTTCCCAAAGCAAACAAAGCTGGCAGGACAAAAGAAATGTGGAGAGACAGGAGACACACAAAGACCAAAGAGAGATATTGGGAGTCTGCTAATCAGGAGGCAACTTTATCCCTTGGAATCACACCAAAAAAATGGATGTTTGGAGATGTGAACTGATTCTGAAGGATAGGAGCAGCCTCTTGGCTCCTGAGGGAGGAACACCGGGCAGCTCTTCCCACACAAAAAGCCCTGGACTGGCTTTCCTTCCATGGAATCCTGTGCTCTCAGTTCTAGGATCAAACCAGGAGCTCTCAGACAGTTCTAGGATCAAACCAGGACTTCTCAGACAGTTATGGGATCAAAGCAGGAGCTCTCAGACAGTTATGGGATCAAACCAGGAGCTCTCAGACAGTTATGGGATCAAAACAGGAGCTCTCAGACAGTTATGGGATCAAAACAGGAGCTCTCAGACAGTTATGGGATCAAACCAGGAGCTCTCAGACAGTTATGGGATCAAAACAGGAGCTCTCAGACAGTTATGGGATCAAACCAGGAGCTCTCAGACAGTTATGGGATCAAATCAGGAGCTCTCAGACAGTTATGGGATCAAACCAGGAGCTCTCAGCTCTTGTCTGGTGACTTTGGCACAGAAGTTCTGCAGGGCCTTGGTCACGTGTGCCAACCTTCTGTTGGCTTCTCCTCCAGCCTGGGGATCTATTTGGGCACAGGGGCACAGGATGTGCCAAATCCCAGGGTAGGTATCACAGAATCCTGGAATGGTTTGGGTGGGAAGGGACCTGAAAGATCATCCAGTTCCATGGGTAGGGACACCTTCCAGTATCCCAGGTTGCTCCAGCCCAGCCTTGGACACTTCCAGGGATGGTGATGAATAAAATCACGGAGTCCTTGAGGTTGGAAAAGACCTCTGAGAGTATCGAGTCCGGCCACAAACACCCTGGAGAGGCACCTTGTTGGATAAAATGAACATCTGCAGGGCAATGGGAATCACTGAATCCCAGAATGGGTTGGGATGGAAGGACCTTGGAGATCATCCCATTCCACCCCCTGCCATGGGCAGGGACACCTTCCACCAGCCCAGGTTGCTCCAACCTGGCCTTGGACACTTCCAGGGATCCAGGAGCAGCCACAGTTTCTCTGAGAAATCTATTCCAGTCCCTCCCCACCCTCCCAGCCAGGAATTCCTTCCCAATATCCCACCTAAATTTATCCTCTTTCAGCTTAAAGCCATTCCCTGTGTCCTGTCCCTCCATGCCTTGTCCCCAGTCCCTCTCCAGCTCTCCTGGAGCCCCTTTAGACCCTGGAAGTGACTCCAAGGTCTCCCTGGAGCCTTCTCTTCTCCAGGTGAACCCCCCACCTACATCAGTGGGATCTGTGGGAACTTCCTTTTGCATTTAAGCCAACTGACCCTCCAGCTCAGGAAGCACATCCAAACCCTCACACGAGGAATAAACCCCTTTCCTTTACAACAGAATAACTCCCAAAGGGGCAAAACGCATCAGCTGCCCCCCACAGCCCTCAGTGAAGGCTGGAAAGGCAGCTAAAGCATCATTCCAGTTCCTCCTGGTCCCTTTGCAGCTTTGGAAGGTCACAACACGCCCCACAGGCCGCTTATTTTGGAACTCGTTACCTAATCGGGGTAAATTACTCAGGGAAGTGGAATTTGGTGGTTTCTGAGGGGTCACGGCCCCATAAGAGCCCTGATAGGCAAAGGGCAGCTCCTCACCCCATCATTTATATCCCTGGTGCTTCTCAGAGGCCTCTTGTCCCTGGGCTGGGGAGATTAATGAGGGGAATCGATTGAGAGGAGGAAAAACCGGATGAGAAACGGCCCCGAGCTCTGGGAGGTTTTTCTGAGGCAAAGGAAAAACCCAGAGAGGCAGAAAATCAATAGGAAGGAAACGAGAAGATGAAAAAACAAAGAGCAGGAGCGGGAGGTTTTGTGAGGCCCGGCGGTAAATAATATTTAAGGGCCTAAAGGGTTCCTGGCTGAGAGGGTCTGTTGGAAGGAGGTTGGAAAGGATAACTGAGGGAAATGTGGGGTGGGTAGAAGTCAAATTAGGGAATGATAAAGAAGAGCCAAAGCTGGTCGAGTTTGGTACCCAATAGTCCCTGTTCTTTCAGCAGAATCAGAAAATCAGCTGGGTTGGAAGGGACCTCCAAGATCATCCAGCCCAACCCTTGATCCAACCCCGCCGTGGTTCCCAGCCCAGGGCACTGATGCCACATCCAGTCTGTCCTTAAACACCTCCAGGGATGGAGAATCCCCCCCTTCCCTGGGCAGCCCATTCCAATGGCTGAGCACCCTCTCTGCAAAGAAATTCTTCCTAATGTCCAACCTAACCCTGCCCTGGCACAGCTGCAGACCCAGCCCTCTTGTCTTGCTGATGGTTGCCTGGGAAAAGAGACCAACCCCCCCCGGCTCCCCCCTCCTGTCAGGGAGTTGCAGAGAGTGAGGAGGTCTCCCCTGAACCTCCTCTTCTCCAGGCTGAGCCCCCCCAGCTCCCTCAGCCTCTCCTCCCAGCACTTGTGTGAGGGTGTTTAAAAGGGGTGTTTACAAGGGCTGAGTATTTGACTCTCTGTAGGTGTTGTAGAAAAAGGTGATAACTTGGGATCTTGCCCTCCTTTAGGATGGGATTCCTGCTCTAAATCAAACTTCAGAACTCAGCTCAGCGGGAGGTTTGTGGGGAGCTCAGAGAGGTGAAGATCCAGCCATGGCTTTCTCCTGCCGTTTCAGTCACTCCTTCTGTCCTCACAGACAACATCCCAAATTTTTCCCAAGGCCTGACTTTCCATGTTGGATCTCTGCAAACACAGGCCCAGACTATATTTGGGAAAATACTAAACACCTGAGTAGGACCAGTTGGTTTGGATTCCATGAATTACAGTCACCCAGCCTGTGGAGCAGCTGGGGATGGAAAGCTGGGCAAGGTGTGGGATGCACAAGCAGATGCCCCTGGATCCTCCCAGCGAGGGGATGGTCTGGGATGGACTGATTGTTTTGAAGGCACATCTAAACACTTCAGAATTTAGGTCACCCAGTCGATAATTCTTCTCTTTTTGGGGACTTCCACCTCTGCAATCTGCTCACCAAGTCCACTGCTTCTTCCAGGTGATTTTCTGAGGCCCCCAGATGTTCTGTCCAGCTCCAAACCAAGGTCAGTCTTCCTTAATTCTGACTGGGAAACTGGACCAAGAATGAAATCACACCTGCATCTCTCTCCCACCCTGGAAGTGGTGCCTCCCACCCACTGGATCTGCTCCAGCAGGATAATAAAACCCTGGATGGCATCAGGAAGGGGACCAGGGTGCTTTTCCTCCTGGTCTTTTGCTCTGCCAGCACTTCTGAAATCAAGTGGAAGTGCTGGGGAGCAGCTTCTGAAGAAGCCAAAGTTCATTTTTCATCTCAAGCACAGCCAAGTTATTAAACTTTTTTTGTTGCAGACAGGGTGGATTCTAAAAGGGTTTGAAAGTTTGAAAAGGGTTTAAAGGTTTGAAAGTGGTTTAAAGGTTTGAAAAGGGTTTAAAGGTTTGAAAGTGGTTTAAAGGTTTGGAAAGGGTTTAAAGGGTTAAAGGGCTTCAAAGGGTTCCAAGAGGTGGACAAAACCAGGGAAGCCAAAAATGCTGCAGTGCTGATAAACAGACACCACATCCAGCTTAGGAAGCTCCTGGGATGCAGATTTTCATCCTGTGCTCCTCTTATTCCTGTAGTTTTCTGGCCACTGGCAGGGAGAAGAGAGCCTTCTGCAGTTTGTGGGGTTGATTTACATCAAGTGGCTCGAGCAGAATTCCCACATCCTCCATCACATCCCTAAACAGACATTCCTGCTCTAGAGGATCCATTGGATGCTGTCAGGGAACATTCAGCAAAGTCTCCCAGAATCCCAGATTGGTTTGGGTTGGAAGTGACCTTGGAGATCATCTCATTCCAACCTTCTCCTTCCATGACATTTGGAGCTGGGAGATGTTTTAAAAACTGGGGTCGTGCTCAATTAAACCCTTAAAATCATTTTTCATCTCTTTTTTGTTGTTTCTGTCACCTCTCCTCTCCCCACCATTCCATGGCTGGTCTTTTTTTTGGGAGACATCTCTTGCTCCAGGACACAACTTCGGGTTTAAACCCTCTGAGATTCTCCCCTAAAATGTTTTTTTCTGTCCTAAAAATCCATGTCAAAGTCAATGGATTTTGTATCCGTGCCCCAATTAAAGGGACAAAGAGGTATCTGAGTTAGTTGCTTGTCCATTCAGAAATTCCCTAAGGAATGTTGCCTGGAGACACCCAGAAATATCTACAGAGGGAAAAAAAAACCCCAACAAAACAACTTGGAAAACAGTTTTGAGAAAGAGAAGGAATTTTGGACTCCTCTACACAAAACACTCCCAAATTAATTCCATTAAAGGTTGTTCTTTTCAAGATTCTCCTGGTTTTCTCTCTGCCCCAGTGCTGCTGGATTTACCAGGAGCTGCTCCTGAACTTTGGGAGCAGCCAAAGATCCATCCCAGAAGCCACCCAGGAGTTTGAGGGCTGCTGATCCAGCCCTTTGTGGGTGTAAATCAGCAGAACTTTTGGGATGGCAGAGAGGAGAACTGGCATCTGTTAATCCTTTGGAGGTCAGAGGGGGTAAACTGGTGGAATTCTGGCCCCAAATGTTGTTGTTTAGGAGCTCTGGGAAGCACAGACAGCTCCCAAATCTGGCTGCAGGGGTGGTCACACCCCAGGGCTTCCAGGAAAAGGGCAAAAGAGGCATCAGACACAACAAGATGGTTGTCAACAGCTGTCCAGGGGAGTTTATTCTTCTTAGAAATGAAAAACTCATGGTTTTCACGACTTTTTTAGGCGAAAGAAATAAGCATGGACCAGATCTCTTGTAATGGAGCAGAGGAGAGAGAAAGGAATCGCTGTGGGAATGGTAAAGTGGGAAATGAATCCCTGATTTTTGGCAGATTTGGCTCAGGGCCCCCCCCCCCCCTCTTCCAGGGCTGGGGCAGCCACAGCTTCCCTGGGCAACCTGTGCCAGGGCCTCCCACCCTCCCAGCCCAGGATTCCTTCCACAGATAAACCCCACATTTCCCCTTTTTCACTTTGAACCCATTGCCCCTCTCCTGGCACTCCAGTTCCTGGGGAAGTCCCTCTCCAGCTTCCTTGGAACTGGAGAGGGGGAGAGGGACTTCCTTCTCCTTCTCCTTCTCCTTCTCCTTCTCCTTCTCCTTCTCCTTCTCCTTCTCCTTCTCCTTCTCCTTCTCCTTCTCCTTCTTCCTTCTCCTTCTCCTTCTCCTTCTCCTTCTCCTTCTCCTTCTCCTTCTCCTTCTCCTTCTCCTTCTCCTTCTCCTTCTCCTTCTCCTTCTCCTTCTCCTTCTCCTTCTCCTTCTCCTTCTCCTTCCCCTTCCCCTTCCCCTTCCCCTTCCCCTTCCCCTTCCCCTTCCCCTTCCCCTTCCCCTTCCCCTTCCCCTTCTTTTCTTTTTCCTTTCCTCTCCTTCCTTCAGACACTGGAAGGAAATACTTCCTCAGATACCTCTTCTCATAATCCAGCCTCCTTTTCCCAGAAAAACCATGGAATCAGCAGACTTAAGGGAATTTTGTCCACCAGAGTGCCACAGCACTATTATTACAACCTTTTTTCATACTCCAAACCATTGCCACAGTCCTTCACAGCCATTGAACAGACCAACAGAAGAACTCTTGGTATTGGCTGAACATCAATTTATTGACATTTATTTACAGCAGTGGGTTTTTTTTGGGATGTAATTCCTTCCCTGATATTTAACCAAGTCTACCTGAACTCATCTCCATCTCACCACAAGTGTAACACCACCCAGAGCCGGAGCTGCCCCGGATCCACGAAAGTTGTTTGATGTGAGCCCAGGAATATTCCTGTTGTTTCCCATTTTAGCCTCTGGAAGTGGTGGTCGATCCCAGAACTTCAAAGCCATGCCGATATTTTCCCGTGCATCTCCCGTCCCCTGTGAACCTGCCACCCCTTTCTAAGAGCCACTTATATCTCCTTCATTTTCCATGGAACAAATGTCTTGCTCCAGTAGAAACATTCCATAATTTAACAGGGATAAATGCAGATCAGAGCCTTGCTAAAAAAACAGTGAAGCTTTTACTCCCAGAAGCTTTTTTCCTCTAAATAACAGATTCCCCTCCCTCTCCTTTAGTCATATTTATTTAATTTCTTTGGGTCTTATTCATAAGCACAAGTTCCTTCCTTCCTTCCTTCCTTCTGTCCTTCCCTCCCTCATTCTTTCCTTCCTTCCTTCCTTCCCTCCTTCCTTCCTTTCCTTTCCTTCCTTCCTTCCTTCCTTCTGTCCTTCCCTCCCTCATTCCTTCCTTCCTTCCTTCCCTCCCTCCTTCCTTCCTTTGCTTTCCTTCCTTCCTTTCTTCCTTCTGTCCTTCCCTCCCTCTTTCCTTCCTTCCTTCCTCCTTCCTTCCTTCCTTGCTTCTGTCCTTCCCTCCCTCCTTCCTTTCTTCCTTCCTTCCTTCCTTCTGTCCTTCCTTCCTTTCCTTTCCTTCCCTTCCCTCCTTCCTTTTTTCCTTCCTTCCTTCCTTCCCTCCTTCCTTCCCTCCCTCCTTCCTTCCTTCCTCCTTCCTTCCCTCCTTCCTTTCTTCTCTCCTTCCTTCCTTCCCTCCTTCCTTCTTCTTTTATTTCTTCCTTCCTTCCTTCCCCCTTCCTTTCTTCTCTTTCTTCTCTCCTTCCTTCCTTCCTCCCTCCCTTCCTTTCCTTCCCTCCCTCCTTCCTTCCTTCCTTCCTTCCTTTTCCCCCTTATTTCTTATTTTCCCCTCTCTCTCCTGACAAGAACCACTGAACTTATGGACACTGACGATTTTCCTTCTCTTCCTGTCATTCCCAGGGCAACAAAATCCATCTCCTCCTCCTCTTCCAGCCTCTGCCTTTTGGGAACAGGAACCCTTCCAAACTCCTCGCTCCCGGGGGGGTTGGGAAATCCTCAATCCTCAGCAGAAACTCCCTCCAATTCTTCCTCGACTGCTTTGATAACGACCCTCAGGAGCTTCACACCTCGTTAGTGCCCTTCCTCCAGCTCTGCTCTCCAATTTCGAATCGATTTAAACATTATTCTCTCCTTCTCTTATCGAGTTTAACTCAATTTTATCCATTAAAGCTTCAACTGAACGTGGCTTTTGGCTCCTTTTTAACAGCATCATCACTTTCTGGACCCTCTTTCACTCCTGTCACTCTTGGCAGCTTAAAATCCCCCAATTTTTTCCCCCCCAGGCTGCTGCAGTTCCACGTGTTGCACCTCCACGACTTCCCAAAGCTCTTTTCATCCCCCCGGGGACATTTTTTACAATGAATTTTGCTTCTGGCACGTCACAGCTCCGTGATCACTTCGAGCCAAGGAGGCCCCAGTGCCAGAGTTTGGAGAGAAAACAACAACTTTTCGGGAACATAACGGAGGGGCCGCTTCCAAGTGACTCACTTTGAGCTGAGGTAAAACTGCACCACACACAGAAGAGCTAAAAATACCGACCAGGAGAACCTCCAGTGCTCTTTTCACCGTCCTGGGGCCTCAAAACGTTGGCCTGGAGGTGGAAAAAGGGTCCAGGCTCAGTGCAAATTATTTCTAAGGTCAGACTTCAAAAGGAAAAGCTTTTTGGTGCCACCGGCCCCTCTCAGAGTTTCTGATTCCACAGATACAGGAGGTGCTGAAGTTTTGGGACCAAAACCTGACATGAGAGTTCTTGGTCCATCTTCTCCACAGCTGGAGGGAAGGGATCCCCTTTGGAATTCCTGATTGCCCTTGGCTGTGCATTTTGGGCTTTCCCAAGCCACCTGCTGGGAATCTGGGCTTCCCTTTCCCCACCTCCCTCCAAGCTTTTGGGTAGATCCCTCCGGTGTGGTCCTGGCACATCTTAGGCATGTTTGGGCCTTGGAAACGATAAATAAATGATAAAAACTCCTTTTTGCTTTCCTTGGATCCTCCTGGCCCTGAGACTGACGCCCCATTCCATGGCAAGGTTCTCCTGGAATCCCCTGCTCACCTGATCCTCCTGCACGGGGCAGGGCAGGGGGTTAAAGAGCTCCTCTGCTATTTGGGGGCTCCTCTGCTATTTGGGGGCTCCTCTGCTATTTGGGGGGTCTCCTCCCTGCTGTTCTGTGGGACAGGAACCCAGCAGGTGACAGAGCAGCTCCCACACCCTCTCCCAGCTGGACAAGATCCTTTGTGTCCATTCAAAGAGCACTTTGAAACAGCCCCCTCAGTATCTCCACCTTCCCCACCCTCCTCTTGCTTCATCTCCCTCCAACAGGGGCTCTGAAACAGGGCCAGGCTCCTGCCTCCAGGTTCCTCTGGCCATTGTTTTAATGGATTGCTGAGAGTTTGATTTATTATCCCCAAAGTCTGGCCAATGTAAATGTTTCCTTTCCTTAAAGCCAGCGAGGATTTGTAATATCCCTCCAAATAATCCTGGGATCCGACCACATCAAGGAGAGGGCAGCAAACTCCACCAGGAACACCCAAACCCTCTCCCTGCTCCGGGGGGTTGGGATCATTCTGGTTGCTCACAGAACTCGCTCCCGCTTTTATCTCGGCCTTTTCGTGGGAAATGCCAATCCCTGGGAATCCCTCTCTCCCACAGTTTCTGAGAGGAGCTATCTCAGCTGAGAGCAGAGGGTTGTGGGTCACCAGGAACGGGAAATCTCCCTGCTGGGAAGGGGAAATCTCCCTGCTGACACCTCCACCAGGTTAATTCTTCACTGGAGCTGCCCCATATCCTGGGAGAGCCTTTTTTTTATGGAAAGCTTTACAGGAAATCTTGGCTCCTTGCTGGTTCTTCAGTGTTTTCTGGAGATGTTGGGCTCACAGGGTGCTGTTCTCCCACCACAGCAACCCAGTTTAACTCATTTTTGGGAGAACAGGGTCAAACCTGGCAGTGCAGGGATTTTAGTGCTGTTCTCCCACCACAGCAATCCAGTTCAGCTCATTTTGGGGAGAACAGGGTCAAACCTGGCAGTGCAGTGATTTTAGTGCTGTTCTTCCACCACAGCAATCCAGTTTAACTCATTTTTGGGAGAACAGGGTCAAACTTGACAGTACAGGGATTTTAGTGCTCTTCTCCCACCACAGCAACCCAGTTCAGCTCATTTTGGGGAGAACAGGGTCAAACTTGACAGTGCAGGGATTTTAGTGCTCTTCTCCCACCACAGCAACCCAGTTCAGCTCATTTTGGGGAGAACAGGGTCAAACTTGACAGTGCAGTGATTTTAGTGCTGTTCTCCCACCACAGCAATCCAGTTTAACTCATTTTGGGGAGAACAGGGTCAAACCTGGCAGTGATTTTAGTGCTGTTCTCCCACCACAGCAATCCAGTTTAACTCATTTTGGGGAGAACAGGGTCAAACCTGGCAGTGATTTTAGTGCTGTTCTCCCACCACAGCAATCCAGTTTAACTCATTTTGGGGAGAACAGGGTCAAACCTGGCAGTGCAGGGATTTTAGTGCTGTTCTCCCACCACAGCAATCCAGTTCAGCTCATTTTGGGGAGAACAGGGTCAAACCTGGCAGTGCAGGGATTTTAGTGCTCTTCTCCCACCACAGCAATCCAGTTTAACTCATTTTTGGGAGAACAGGGTCAAACTTGACAGTGCAGGGATTTTAGTGCTCTTCTCCCACCACAGCAACCCAGTTTAACTCATTTTGGGGAGAACAGGGTCAAACCTGGCAGTGATTTTAGTGCTGTTCTCCCACCACAGCAATCCAGTTCAGCTCATTTTGGGGACAAGAGGCTCAAACTTGTCAGGGATTTAATGACCATTATTTCAAGGCCCAATTGGCAGTGAATTGATGGAAACTCATTGAGCCCAAAATGTTTAATCCTGTTTTTCTGGATATGGAGTGGAGGGACCACACAGCCACTTGAGCCTTCCCCTTCTGCTTGCTTTTATTAAAAACAAGCCTTCTTTGAGCTGAAAAGATCTTCCACCTTGCAAGGATTTAAGGAAAATGCCTGGATGTGAGTCACTCCCAGCTCAAAAACTTGGGTTGACCAAAAATTGCTTCACTCATACAGAATAAAGTCATTTTATGTCGAGTTGAAACCAGGATGTTTCTGATTTGAGTCCAGAGGGACCATGGAGATGCTGCCAGAGCTGGAGCATCTTTCCTATGGAACCAGGCTGGGAGAGCTGGGGGGGTTCCCCTGGAGAAGAGAAGGCTCCAGGGAGAGCTGAGAGCCCCTGGCAGGGCCTGAAGAGGCTCCAGGAGAGCTGAAGAGGGACTGGGGACAAGGGATGGAGGGACAGGACACAGGGAATGGCTTCAAGCTGAAGGAGAATATATTGATATTGGATATTGGGAAGGAATTCCTGGCTGTGAGGGTGGGGAGGGATGGAATGGATTTCCCAGAGAAGCTGTGGCTGCCCCTGGATCTCTGGGAGTGTCCAAGGCCAGGTTGGTTGATTTTGTTCACTAAATGAGCCAAGAGGATTGAGCTTTTACCTCCTTGAGCAGCAGAGGCTCCTCTGGAGCTGGGAACGGATCCTTCCAGCCAAGAGGGACAATTTATCTTAGTTGAAGCCTCCATAAATCTTCTTCCATGAGATCTCACCGGTCATTAATAAAGTTGGAGTTCTCATCCCAGCTTTTCTGCACGCAGCAGAGGTGGTCAGGCCTCTTGGATGCTGATTTTTGTTATTCCCTGTAGAAACCTGTGGGAGTTTCTCTGGAGTTCAGCTGCCGTTGGCACAGGGAGTGAGGGGCTGCAGGAAGGGCCAGGGAGGTTTTCCTACGTTTCCCAGGGTGGTTTGGGTTGGAAGAGGCCTTAAAGATCATCCAGTTCCACCCCTGCCATGGGCAGGGACACCTTCCACTAGCCCAGGTCGCTCCAATCCCATCCAAACTGCCTTTGGACAATTCCAGGGGTGGGGCAGCCACAGATTCTCAGGATAACCTGTGCCAGGACCTCCCCAGACGATCAGATCTCAGCAGATGAGCCCAGTTCTGTGGCTCAGGCTCTTCTCCAGGTGTTATCTTTTCCCTGACAGGGGTTTTTTGAACCCACAAAGGGAATCCCATCCCGAGCCAGGCCGGGAATGCCGTGTTTCCATGGCCAGACAATCAGCATTTCTCCCAGGGCTCAGGGCAGAGCTGAGCAATCAGAAGGATGATGCAAAAGGAATGTTTTTAGGTTCCTCTTGTTGCCAAAAATTGGTTGGACTCCCTGAACTGCACAGATAAAAGAAGAAGGGATAATATCCAACCCACCCAGAGTGGCCTGTGGAAGCTCTGGATCTGGTCCAAGCAGAGAGAGGAGGATTAAGCAGAGTGGAAAACAGGCAGCCCTTGCTTATCATTGATTCCAGTTTTGCCCCAAATCTCTGGATCAACATGGGAACAAGAGTGTCATTGGTTGTTGCTGGTGTGGCAGCAGCACCTTTTCCAAGGGCAAACCTCCCAAGGTGAGATCCCCTCTGGACAGCACATGGTGGGAACACACCTGGAGAGCTGGGGGAATGTTCCCCGTGCCAGGCTGTGCCAGGGGGGATTCAGGGTCTTTGGAAAGGCAGGTTGAGGATGCAGGAAGGGCCAGAGGACAGGCAGGTCAAAGGCAACTGGGCAGTGCTGGGGGCTTTCTCCACTCCGAGACTCCAGGAACTGGATCCAGGGATCAAACTGGAGTTGGACACAGTCATGGAGTGGAGGAGAAACTGGGCCCTGTAAGTACATGATGGCCCAGGGGAACTGGAGGAGATGGTGAGATGGGAGCTGGTTCAGGGTGTCCTGTTGGACACCCAACATGACCTGTGACATTTAAGCACCTGAGTGTGACCCCATGAGAAGTCCAAGCTCCTCCCTGAGGAAATGGGGTCACCCCCCCTGGCCTGGGGAGGGGTTCAGGGCTGTCTCTGAGCCGTGTTTTCCCCTTGCTAATGAGGAATGAGCTGTTCTCTTTATTCCTGGGCCAGAAGACACTCCAAGCCCAAATCTGCTCCGTTCCCACGGGGTCTGTTGTGTGTCCTTCGTGGAGCTCCTTCGGTTTTGGGACGTGCTGAAGATCAAACTTATCTCCCAGAGGAACTCTGGGTGCCCTGTGCTCCATCCCCCCTTTGGTTCCGAGTGGTAACAAAGGTAAATGACTCCTGGGGTGGTCAGTTCTTCATGGAAAACCAGATTGT